ATTCCAATCAATGCATTCAGGTTAATCAAGGTAATAGATGTTAATTAAAGTCATTATCCTTGGTTAAATGGGATTTATGAGGTTTAAATTTTAATTAATTAGGTTTTGTCCTTTTAAATTCTTCAACAGGCCAATCTCCAAAACATCTTTCCTTTATCTTTCTTTTATTTTTGCAAGTAATGCAACATTGAAGAGTTCAAAGTCTCTATAACCAAGGCCCCCTGCATTTTTAGGCTTCTCCAGCAAGTTCCAAGATAGCCATTATGTTTTGGTTTTATCTCCTCTACTTTCCCACCAAAAATTCTTAACTTGGAGATTTATAGCCAGAAGAATGGTTCGTGGAAGTTTGAAAATACCCATGCAGTAAGTTGGAATAACTTGGATAATAGACTTGAGGAGACCTTCTTTACCTGCTTGTGAAATAAACTTCACAGTCCAGGTATTCATCTTCCTGTTGATCGAATCAAGGACCGGTTTGAAAGCTATCATTTTATTCCTTCCAACATAAACCGGCAGACCCAGGTACTTTTCAAAGGACTTCGTTTCTCTAACTTTGGTTGCATGAAAAATTGCACCATTGATCTCTGCTTTGGTGCTGTCACTGAAAAAGATGGATGTCTTGTCCAAAATCCAGACTCTTTGGCTGCATTGGTACTAAAAGCGAAATACTACTGTAGAACAGATTTCTTGAACGGAAAAATTGGTAGGAATGCTTCGTTCCTTTCGGAAGGCAAAGAGCTATTGCGAGAAGGACTACTATGGCGCATAGGAAATGGAGAATCTATTGTCATTGGAAAGGACAAATGGATCCCCCAAGATTCTACCTTCAAAGTTCAATATCCCTTACAAGACAGATTTCAGAACGGTAAAGTAAGTGAGCTCATCGTTGCAGAAACGACAACTTGGAATACACAACTTATCTCTAAACGCTTTTCAGCATCTGAAGCTAGTCTCATTAGCATGATTCCTATTAGTCCATGTGGAAGTCCAGACAAATTGATATGGCGGAGCACGAAGGATGGCAAATTCATAGTTAAAAGCGCATACCATTTCATCAGTAAGATGAAACAAGAATCATTGGGACAATGCTCTACAAGAAATACTCAGTATGAAATCTGGCATAACATATGGAGGTTAAAGGTATCAAATGCTAATAAAATGTTCTTGTGGAGGGCGACCCATGAATCTCTACCAACAAATTTGAATTTGGACAGAAGGAAAATATGGGAATGCCCCTTATGCCCGATTTGTAAGTGGGAAGAGGAGCCAGTAGTTCATATTTTGTGGTTGTGTATTTCATCTCAAGATGTTTGGAGCTCTAGCTCATGGAAGATTCAAAAGATGTCCTTTATGTCGCTGAATTTTAAAGAATTGTTGTGCAATCTACTCAATAGACTGTCAGAAGAAGATAAGGAAATTTTTATAGCCACGGTCTATCATATCTGGAAGGGGCGTAACTCCCTTATCTTTGAGAATAAATTTGTGGATCCAGTATCAGTAGCAAACACAGCTCGACAAATTGCTTTAGATTATAGAAGAGAAAATATCTTGCTGGATAGAATTGGTACTAGTGGAGACCAAACAGCCCAACATTAGGTCTAGCCGCCCTTGCATCAATATAAAGTGAACTGGGATGCGGTGGTTGACTCAGCTAATCACCGAATTGGAATTGGTGTCGTTGTGAGAGATTGGACAGGAAACTTTAAAACATCACTGATGTCTCCAATGAATAATCTCCCGGACGCTTTTTTGGCTGAATCTATTGGAGTAATAGAAGCTGTCAAACTGAGTAGACATCTCGACCTAAGATCAATCATGCTAAAGGGGACGCGATAAATGAGGTGAAGGCACTTAAAGGTGAACTAGAGATATGGACCTATCCCAACCTACTGATCCAGGACACGAAAAGTTTGCTTGGTTATTTTCATTCTTGGTCTGTCATTCATGTATCTAGGCAAGTTAATGTTGTTGTTCATACTTTAGCAAAGGAAGCACTTAAACTCTCTGAGGAGAGAATTGTGTTGAAAGAAACTCCTCCTTGTATCCGGAACTTGCTATTTTGAAGCTTAATGAAATGCTTATTCTCAAAAAAAAAAAAATGGTAAAAAAAAAAAAAATACTAACAAAATATTAGAGATAACTTTTTTTTCTTTCTATTAGAATAACTCGAACATAACCAGTTCAAAATTATTTTTTCTTATTCTAAATTATTTTATTTAATACGAGTTACAAAATGAGTATAATATTGATATCTTTGATCAACTACTATAATACGTAAATATTTGACCCAACATAAATTCAAATGAAATATATACATAAGACAATAAATCATTATGCAAATAGGAGGGTTAAACTTACCATATTAACCTTTGGACTTTAGTATGACGAAAATGTTAGACATGGATTATTCCACTTACTAAGTGACCAACATAAATTTTTAGGGCAATGTGAAAGAAGTGAATAAAATTCGGGGTGTTACATTAGTGTGTTGAGTTCGATTTGTATACGCGAAAAAAGTAAGCAACTTAAACACAAATATCGAGGTAATGATCTTTGTCGGATTTCCCATAGACCAAACAAGCAAGAGTTATAGAATTTATAATAGGCAACAAGCCTACTTAATTTGATCATATAATCTCATTAAAAAACCTTTTATATGGCATAAATGTAAATGTTCCCAACTAAGCCTCATATTCTTTTATTTTGTTTTCTAGCGCCGTCCAAATTTTAACATATTTATTCCTTAAAGTACATATACATTTAGACCTTCAAGTTGCTGCAAAATTTCTAATTGTTCCTTAAAGTTTATTTCTTCAAATCAGTCGTTAAAGTTTTCTGATGGTTTCAATTTAGTCACTTGCTAGTTAGATTAATGTGAAATCTTACATTTATGCTGCTAAAGTTGACGTGGACTATTAGGACATTGATAACCACACAAACCTTAGCAAAGTCTAAAAATGGAATAACAGTTATAGGCCTCGAAATCAGTTTGCTTTAAGTGTCAATGGATCACAACTCCTATATTGTATATGTATATGTTACGTGCACGCTTATGCGCTGATGTCAGACTATAGGTGATCATAGAGTCATCAAGGTGCGCCGGTCACAGACATTTCGATGCTCAAGTGAGATGATGATTATTTCGGTGTGGGAGAGACAATGAACGAAAATGCGAGTGTTGGGATACATAGAGGATTTCTGAGATTGCAAATCTAAATTTCACATATTTTTGAATGACAATAAATGTGAGTATTTATAGATGGAAGAAGTCACTTGGATGCTTGACATGTGACATTATGTTAACGACACACATCATCAAGTTGAATTATGTCAATTGTGGCAATCCATAGTTGTCATAGACTTGTGGTCACCCTTACCCTGTACATAAACTGAAACGTCATCTAATCGAATGGCACTACTGCTAAGCGTCACATCAATCAATCAAGTGTACAACGAAGTGTACAGTGTGACTTGGTCGAGGTGAGGCTGGTGGTAAAGGCCCAAAGTAGAAGATGTCATTTACTTCGAAATCATACTTCAACAGAAAGGTGACGACTTGCCTTAGATAATAACATTCTGGACGAGGGATCCAAGGGCATGGTCTAATTGTCCCCATGGACACATATCGAGGAGGCGATGTCAAAGTTTAGTAGCATGTCTGTATAGGCGAAAGTGATGAGATCATCCTATCTTAATCGTCGTAATTGATGAGGTAACAAGGCGATGAACCATGTAAATTATTCTCATTTTGAGTTGCCATTTGTTTGATCTAGTTGTTAACAAATCCCAACTTTTCTTCAATCCATGCGTATATTATCGACACATTTGAGTACCGATGTTAGACTACATTTGACCATAGCATCGATGATTTCAACGGTTGTGAGCACTTTGATGCTCAAGTTAAACAATGATGAATATTTGAGTGTGAGAGAGACATAAAGAACAAAAAGAATTACCAAAATTGCAATTCTAAACTTCACATATTTTTTTCAACAACAATAAGTGAGAGTATTTACAGATGGAAGAAGTTTATGCTTGATACATGAACATATCATAAAGGCTTACCCATCAAGTTGAATTATGTTTATTGTGTCAATTCATAGTTATCATAGGCATGTGGCCACCCTAACCTAAACATAGGCTGAAAAGTTGTCTGATGGAATGGTATTTGCTACAAAGCTATCACATCTATCAATATTCAATTAACTGTACGTTGCAATGTACTATTTGACTTGACTGAGGCGAGGCTGGTGGCAGAAGTCATTGTACAAGATGTCAATCGTCTCATATAGAAGAGGCGATGTCGAAGTGAGGTGTTGACTTTGTGCGATCTCTTGCTTTGTTTTATGCTTAGATAGTTGCCAAATGGCTTTCCTGTAGGTTGAATTGTAACAATATATCCCTGAGTCCAAGCACGCACACACACACACACACACACACACACACACACACACACACACACA